GATCCCTAAGGAATATAGAAGGATTTGCAGTGAGTATGATGGATGCATCATTCCCTTCTATGAGTGCACATTTTTGTTCTCATGTCTCTACTTGTCCTTCAACATCTTTAAGATAAAGATTTTGAACCACTTGACGATCGTAAATTCGTAGTTGAACCCTGTGAGTTAGGCATTTAACAAAGTCTTTAAGTATTGGTGTGAATATTAGATGGGGGAAGGCCTATTCATCTCTTTTCTTCCACCATTTTAGAGTATAACGTAGTTCAGAAAACTAAACGGAGAGCTTGAAGCATTTTGAAAACCGGTTGTTGTTGATTGTTCTTCTCTACAAAGAGGCACATGCGACAATATGCATCTTAGGAACCATGGTGGAAAACAGGTGTACAGGTTTTTTCATAAGTGTTAGAACAAAGGTCATTTCCTGGCGGGGAATGGATCATACGTCTACAAGGAAAACTATCCCTAGAGCATATTTATATAAAGAAACAAATGGTCACTTTCATCAAAGAGTTAAGTTATGTCAGAGGTGTCACTCCTCGAGATGATACCTCTAAGAAACGTTTGAAGTACCTTATTGAAACCCTTCTGTTGATGGATGCTTGTACTAAGTAAGAAAATAAGGTCATTTTTATGAGCTCTCGGTATTTTTGCCCTATGTCATCAGTTTTGTTGTTTGTACTTCCCCCTTAACCTTTGGTAATTTTTATTTCCATATTTGATGAAGAACGATAATATAATCAACCAAATAAGATGTGGAATCTGAGTCATCCTGGTTATTATCAATCCTTCAAACACTTCAATGTTAGTCAATGTTCCTCTTCCGACTAGGATGGTGAAAACATTTCCTAGGCTCTCTCAATTGGATTCTCGATGAGGAGCCGCCTCGGGGCCTGTTAGAGACGTTGGTATCTTTGGCAACTCTCAACGAGTATCGGGCATTCCAAGTCTTCTGGTTCTTATCCTCTTGTGTAGGCCAAGTCCTCGTACTCCAAAATAGCATCAGGCGTCTACTTTGAAAGAGGATTGCTCCTATCTTTCCAAACTGACCGACGAGGCTCTCCAGGAGGAGTTATCAAATCTAGTGTGTTATAGCCAGTGTATTTTTTCCATTTTGGCCATTGGTGGGGCACCTCATTGGGATGTTATTTATTTGATCAGTGTCGCAAGAAAAAACCCACTACTAGAAAAAGCACATATGTAACATGTTATTATATCGGTCATTATGCCAACCGAAATAAGAGCTCTTAATTAGGCCCCTACAAAAAATTATTTTATTAAAAGATATTTCACTATTGGCCAAAAATTAAAAGATATTTCCGTGTTATATATTATTTTAAACATTTTTTTAAAATTGTTTTTTTAATGATTTAAGTCAAATTTTGTATGAATATAAATATTTTGTCCAAAATCTAATATAAATATATAAATTTTTAAGTACTAGTATATTACAATATAAACTTTTTGATTAAAAGTTTTAATTGGACTAATTGCAATGGTAAAACTGACTTATCAACTACTAAATCTCTTTATATTGATTTGCTATTAAATGCATCTGAAGTGGCACACCCATATTTTTTATTGACATTTTATAATTATTTTTTTCCAAACAACCTTTCAATGCATTTCATTTTCAAATTTATATCTCTTCACATTGAGAAATTGAAATCCATTTTTTAATGTGAACCATCATAATCTGTCTCTTGACTCGATGCATGCAAAGAGGCAAATGAAAAGTCACAAAGTTATCTAAAATTTCTCTCTCTCTCTCTCTCTCTCTCTCTCTCTCTCTCTCTCTCTCTCTCTATATATATATATATATATATATATATATATATATATATATATATATATATATATATATATATATATATATATATATATATATATATATATATATATATATATATATATATATATATATCTTCGACCAACACAACCCTCCACCATTACCTCAACTACTCTACTGTAGTCTCCCTCCCTTTCTTCTTCGCTGTTGCTTTTCTCCATGCTTCAAGCTTCAACTTTGCATGCAATGGATCTGAGAACAATTTTTTCATTCCTTTTCGATTTGTTTTAAGAAGATGAATATGGTGAGTAGAAGAGAGGAGTGAAAGCTATAGACCTGGTTGATTGTTGAACATGAATACGATGGTGTAAGCTGGAGGTTGGTTTGAAGGTCTGCGACAAAGGTGGAAATTGAAGCGAAAATGGAGATGGTTGTTGGTGATGTTGGAAAGTTGGTGGTATGATTTATGCGAGTTTCAATGGAGTTATAGATCTGAAAGTTAGATGGAGGTGGTATAATGTTGGTTACAGTGGCTTTGTGGCTTGAAAGTTACGAGAGTGAGGTTTAGATTTAATTTCAGTTCTCATTATTTTTTATTGTCGCAAAGCTAAATATTTATTTTTGACATTTGAAAAATAAAATATGATGCTAATCTTTCACACTAATGAAGTTGGTTCTTTTCAGGCTTTTCCTTCAATGAAGTTGGTTCTGTAAGCAAAAGCAATTGAAAAGTTATTTGATGTCATTCCTTCAATTGAATTTCATAATGAAGAGGACTAATGGGCAATTTGGTATACTTAGTGATTGTTGAAGTGGAGATTTAGTTGATGAGGTTGAATGAGAGGTATTGGTGACGGAGAATTTGACGATGATGGTGGAAGCATTTGTGAAGGACTATCTTGCTCGGGAATTAAAAGAAGATGGGATTTTGGATTCTTTCTATTTTCAAGGTCTGGTTTCTACTACTAAATATCTTTGCATTCTTATCTATACCAAATATTTTATTAAGCCTTTTTCTATAGAGTGTTTCAACTTTCTATAATTATTTGGTTAACAATGAATTTCTCATACACATGCTTATGCACATGTATTAACAATGAATTTGACCTTTTTTATTGACTTTTGGTTAATTTCTTTTGACTTGCATAAGGATGATGTTTTAAAAGTTGCCTTTCATTTAAATTCTCACAACAGACTTGGGGTTTTCATCTTTTGTCGAGTTTGCTATTCCCATTTCCACTTCCGCCTGAGAACTTTCATTTGCAGTTTCAGTTTCAGCACTGATATCTGAAGGATGTTGGCTCTGATAATATGCTACAACATCTGATACTTGAGGTTATATTTCAATATGTAGATCATGTTTAGTTTGGGGTTCAAAATTTGACATTGATGCATCTGGTGGTGTAGATGCAAGTGGTTCTAAGACTATTTCATTTAATTGTCAACTTTCAGGTTAATTAAACTAATAAACTATATTCTTTCTTTTGGTATTATCTTTCCTTCTATAACAAACTGAATTTTATTTATATATCATCTCATGTTTGAATACATGTATTGTGTATGGATCGTTGGAGTTTCCTGTCGGTGCACAACTGCATTTTGGAAGGGCTTAAGAGATTATGTAATACACGATTGCTCGGGTTAGCTAAATGAATTGGGTTTGTTAGTGTATTGTGGAACATTAGTGATTTTTTAAAGTTCTGCTATTTATAGTGCGCCTATAGTCAATATTTGACAACATTGGTTATTAGTTAATTGATGAGGTGAAGCATACTTACCTGCTCTGTAAACTTTATTTTACATGCAAAAGTATGCATTGTTTCTGTTGTAATGTTTGGCCAATTTCTGTTATAATTTTACTGCATTATATGATAAATTTTATTCGTTTTTAGACTCTCATTTCACAAATTGTTTCGTAGATTGAAAGAGAAGTATTAGATGTTGCTGCTCGGATTATTCAGCCTGGCGTGACAACTGATGGATTTTGTATTGAGATTTGCAGATAGCAAAAAGTTAATAATTGAACTATATAGATTCTCAATGGAGGTAGTGTCATGGATGTTGGGCTGATTCCCAAATTTTGTATGCAGTTGCTCCTACTGTGTTGCAATTTGCAGCTAAAATATATGTTGGGTGCTGCTATTTGTATATGCTGCTTCATACTGTTTTCTAGTAAACTCTATTTTGTATTTTATGTGTTTACAACTAGACCATTCTCTTTATATTAGTAAAATTAATATACACACACACATCATGTTTTTGGTATTTTGTATAGCATTTCCCTTTGATTTAACGGGGCTTCAAAAGGAAGAACAAAAAGAGAGAGATAAGACTCAGACTCTACACCTTCGTAAAGAGATTAGGAGGATTGGAAAATTAAGTTCAAAGTAATATAATAATAAAATTCTTAATTATATTGTTTCAAATGTAATATTCAAGCTCTAAACCAAGGAAAAACCTTAACCGGATTAGCTCTGTAGACTGTAGAGCAAAATTTGCTATTTGCAGCACCAAGTTAGGCAATTTTGAAAAAAACATCTTGCAAAAGAAAATTACTATAAGACTATTTTAGAAATCTTTTGTGGATATGCACATGATAAGATCAAGATCTCTATACATTTTGAAGACATCCCGCTTAAGATTAAAGCATTGAGTCTAGGTACTGATAATTATGTTTTCAGGTGAACGCTAACAAGCTACCGTACATTCGATCAACAACGCCAACAAACAGAGCCTTTTTGTCAGGGCTAAAAGACATACGAGCAATCTCACCAAATGTATCTATCTCTTGACTATGTGAATAACCGGATTGTGAATAAAAAATATGGATGAAGTCAGCTGACTCAGCCATGGCCAAAAACCTTCCATCTGATGTGAATCTTAAGCCTCTTATTGCACCTATTCTTCCCTTTAATACTGCTAAGGACTGCGAAAGATTTCTTATATCCCACAACCTGCATGTTCTGTCCTGATTCCCGGTAGCTAATATTTGTCAATTAGGGTGCCAAGCAGATGAGAAAGAATAGTCAAAGTTCCCTTTTAGGTTTCTAGTGATATGAGAAATGTCATAAAGTGTGTGTATATTCAGAATATAAATAAAGCATCAAGGACAGTGCGATACCTAAAACATTTTCAAATTAAATTACCTTCCCCGTGTTAGCATCGACTATCAAGCCCTCAATACCGTCCCTAAGAACAACTAACAACTTTCCATCTAGACTAACAAAAGCTTCTACAAAAGTCACAAATTATTATAGCAAAGTGTTTTTATTTCTTAGAGGTGAAAATTAAAATATTAATAGAAATATTAGTCGATGAAACTCACATTGACAGACCAATTATACTTGAAACAACCAAGATAAGAAAAATTCTCTTAATCGAAAACCCGAATTTGGGAATCATTATTTGCTGCAATGACCCTTAATGGCCCACTTCAAAGAGACAGTCGAGTTAAAAACCAACCAAGTTAAAATAATAAAACTTAAGCTTTTGCGTTTAGATGCTTACTTGGGGTTGCGGAAGACATCCACAACATTGGTTATAACATTATCATCTGTAGTTATTTTACTGTAGAATGCAACTCCAGAATGATTTAAATTCTGGTACAAAAATAATTCAAATCCGTTAAAAAAGGACCTTATTAAGTTTTTATAGTTGATTATTCAATTGAAAGAAATCATGATGTGCCCAAAATGTTCACGCCTTGCAAATAAGCTTGACATGGAAACCACCTGCCATCATCCAGTTCTCCTTAAGAACCATGGTGCTAATTTGCACTCGCGAGATGGGGTGGGATAATCCAGAATGCTTTTGCTAATGAAACATAAGGACAATAAAATAAGATGGCATTGAGAATAAAAGAAACATATTTTGTTTGATATGCTAAGTAGCTACGTACAAGGGTTGGAATAATCGGTTTGGCCATATTAATCACTTCTTTACTCCTTCGTAGTAATGAGGACCAATGCATCACAAAGTAGTTTTGCATAAGGTATACATCATGCTTTGATGTTGCCCACAACAGATTCCTCAACTGCAAGACACATTGATAGCATCAATATCAACACCCAGATAGAAATATATGATTATAAAATAAGATATTAATATCACTCTAAGCAAATACGACACCACATTCTAGCATTGAACATGACCCTTAATTAGAAAAGCATCTATGAATAACAATAACTACTCTAAATGTTAGAGGGTATTTGTGTTATGTTAATGTGTTGGTACATACTGTGATCGGTGGATCTGGAACTGACTGTTTAACGCTGGTTCGCGAAATGTCGCGGAAGCAAGAGTCGCCACCGTCTTTTATTTTCTCCAACATGGACAGGACAAAAGCACAGCAAAATTCCTTATGAGATAGTTTCTCGGTTCGGGAGGTAGATTTATAGAAAGGGAAGGTGTTAGCACCCTTTCTATCCATGGTTATCCATGGGCTCTTAGATACTTGCTCATTTGTGTTTTCAAAGTGTTTGTTTGCTTTTCAATCGTGAGTGGGTTTGAAAAAGTTTCGTTTAAAATTTCAGTTCGACTCTTGTATCAGTCCTCAAGAGTGTTTGAAAAGTTGTTTTTGAAAGCTTTTTGCAAAGTGTCGGTGTGAAAAGAAGTTTTTGATTTGTTTTGGATTAGAGCAAGTATCTACGAGTCATCTACCTACCCTAAGGAATTAGGCTGTGTTAATGTCCTTAAGGTAGTGCCATCCCACCATTGAGAGGTAGGTAGCACCACCGTTGGAGGTGTTCGGGTCAATTCGAGAATTAGGGACAGTGTGGTCACCGAGCAATAGTAAGACACCTTAGAAGCTACCCTTATGCCATTGATCTTTTTATTCCGAGGCAACTATTCCGAGGCAACTTGTTTCGAGGCAACTTGTTCGAGGCAACCATTTCGAGGCAACTAGATCAATGGAACATAAGGACTCACTAAGACGTCCTATACTCGACGACCACGTTTCGAGGGGCAAGGCAACAGCGTGGTCACCAGAGCAATAGTAGGACACCTTAGAAGCTACCCTTATGCCATGTTCATGGACATAAGGACTTACTAAAACGTCCTATACTCGACGACCACGTTTCGAAGGGCAAGGCAACAGTGAGGCGTACCCTAGGAGTGGTGTGTGAATTGTGTGTCATTTTCAGTTATTATTTGTCTTGTCATGCATCGGGTGTTCTACGCTTTGATTTTTATTTGAGCATACATTCTTTCATGTGATTAACAGTTTAAAAGGTGCGGAAATTAAAATGCGGAAAAATAAAGGTCCTAAGCTATTACAAGGCGCGGGTCCATACATCGCCAAATTAACAAAATCCGATTTTGAATAAAAGTGCGGAAAGTAAATGTCCTAATTATCTATTACAAGGTGTGATACGGTGGGAGAACTGACTAGGGTTTTGCGTTTGTTTTCGCAAATGTTTCGGTTGAGCAAGAGTCGCCACCGACTTTTTATTTTATCCTAAGGAAAGGTTTTAAAAAGCACAGCAAAAACCTTTGAGATTTTTCTTGGGTTCGGGGAGTAGATTATAGAAAGGGAAGGTATTAGCACCCTTTCTATCCATGGTTATCCATGGGCTCTTAGGTACTTGCTTAGATCAACTTGCCTTGGTTTTCAATTGTTTGAAATGGTGCTTGGTGTGTGGTTTTTTGAAAATGTTTTGAAAAGATGCCTTGTATAGGCTACCCTTGTAACAATTCTTTACTCGAATGTTTTACAAAAGGTGTTTTGTCTTTAGAAAAGATGTTTCAAGGTTTTTGAAAGTTGGTTTTGAAAATGTTTGTGAAGTGGGTTTTGAAAATAGGCAAGTGTTTTCTTGGCAAATTGATAAGTACTTAAGAGTTGTCTACCCTAAAATTTTCTCAAAGATTTTTGTCATGTTTTAAACCTTTTGACAATTTTGTTCCACCATTATATTTGGTGGACAATCTTGTTTTAGGAGGTGAAAGGGACGGGCGCGGGTCATCGTTTAGACCATAATTGCAATAGTGTTAAATGTCTTTGGGCAATTTCTCTTTGAAAGGGACTTGATCATTTTAGGCAACCTTTCGAAAGCGTCATCAAGGGACTATGATCATTTGATTGTTTGTTTTACCCAAAGAGATTTAGCATACAATATGGCCCAATTATTTGAAGGCAACAAAGTGGAATACCCTAGGGGTGCAAGTGTGAAATGTGTTGTCCATTTTTCATGCTTTTCTTGTCTTGTATTAGGTCAAACTAGTTTGTTCATTTTATTCGCATACAAATCCTAATTCTAGCATAGTATATTTAGAAAGCGATAAAATGCGAAATTTAAATTCCTACGCTATTACAACACAATAATATGGGGAGGGGGTACAATGTTTCAAATGGGGAGATTTAGACAAGAATTTAAACCTAACTATTACATCATTTTCTTTGAATATTTATAAGACAAATAAATGTATAATTAAATGGAAATTGAAATAAATATGCAAAATGTAAAAAGAATTTTTATGTGTATAAAAAAGGAATATTATTTATGTGAAATAAAAAGAGAAAAAATAAGAAAAGGATTATTTTTTTGAGTATTTTCAATTTTAGGGCAAAACCCTAATTTTAATCAAATTGGTATTAGTTATTTAATATTTGTAATATTGACTATTTATATACAAAAACAAGATAAAAATATAATATACTTAAAAAAGGTATTTTTTAGTATTAAATATTAAAAGATAAAAATATGTACATTTTTTGGTATTTATATCCTAAGTGTATTAATATATATCTATTTATTTATATTATTTACAAAATATGTATTATATATGTTAATTAATAATATTTAATATTTGAATAAAAAAAGTATTTTTCTATAAAATATTTTCAGGAAGTAAAAATAAGATAAAAGTATGTAAAAATGTATTTCCAATATTTTAATATTTTAAACAAAACATATATATATGTTTATTTATGTTCAAACTAAAAGAAAAATCAAATAAATACCTAATAAAATCAAAAATGGTGAGAAAAAATATTTTTAAATTTTTAATATACTGAGAAAAAATAAATGAGTCAATTAAAAAAGGAAAAAATCAAAAATCATTAAAAATAAAACAAATGGGCTCAGGGGGTTCAGAAGCAATTATAGGATGCAAAAAGAAAAGTCAGCATAAGCCCAGCCCAATACCACCTTTCTTCAACCTCTGAACTATGTGATTCAAAAAACGCGCGCCCTGTTCTCAATCTTCTAACTCCTGATTCCTGGCTTTTCAATGAAAACTCATAACATAAAAAATGTTCAGCATGAAGAGACGAATCCAACCATATGCAGAACTTGATCTAACTCTCTAAGATGAGGGAGAATTTCTTCTCCCCCAAATCCTAACCTAGATTTTCTGCCATTTTCAAACCTCAAATTCTCACAGCTCAAGTAAAAGAAATGAAAAGTAAAAACATGTACATGTTCAGTGGCATGAGTAGAACATTGTTTATTCACAAACTTAGAGTTAATGATGCTTGATAAGAGAGATAGAAGTTCACCAAGATACCTGTTCAGCTGAAGTTCTATCTGGCAATGAGGGAGCTTTCAGTGCAAGGTGATGATTGGAAAAGCTTCCTTGAGGTCCAGGGATGCTATTCCAATGCTTACTTTGTCTTGAAAGCTTCTGAATCGTGCTAGAGCACTTCACCTGCAAAACAAGAAACTGAAAATGGTGGAAGTGGTTAGAGGGATTACAGGTCGTGTTTCAAGTCATGGTTAGCTTGCATAGATGCTAGGGAATGTATGTGAACTGGTTTGGGCAAGAGAGCTTGAGGGGAATGGAAGATGGCACTCAAACTGCAGGCCTGACCCTGTTTTTGCAGTTTGAAGATGATTCTGAGATTGGGAGTGTTTGAGAGGTGTTAGGGTCGTGCAAAAGCTTGGTTGAGATGTCTTGAGTATGTTTGATAAGTTCACTTAAGGGTTTCTAAGCTGATATGAGAGTTGGTTTGAGTTATGATGTGTTTCTTACACTTTAAGCAAGCAATGGTTACTTTGTGCCTCTAGCCTGTACATGCCCTCATACTATGCTGCATAATCCCTCCTTGATCAGTGTGATTAACACATAAACTTGTGCCAATTAGATATGGATTGTACTTCTTGGATTTGTAATTGGACATAAAGCTAACTTTTGCAAAAATGGAAGAAATGCTTTATCTATTTTGGGATTAATCCTTTATGCAATGCTAGAACACAAAGAACATGGCTTTGGCACAAAGAATATGCATTAAATTTATGAGTGTTGGATGGTTTAAGGACCTGTAATCAAGATATGCAAGCTGAGATTGAAATGCATAGTGTTATGAACATGTACATGGCCAAGAACAAAAGTGACTTTTTCCCATTTTGCAAAATTCGATTCTCCCTAACCATGAGGTTGTTTGAGAAGTTCTTGGACATTTTGGAAAGCTTGGAACGTGTACTACAATCCATCTTTGAAGTGCAAGTTGAAATTCCAAGTGGAAGTGTATGGAAAATAGCCTTGAAGTTAGGTAGAAAACCTTGTCAAAATAGGTTAAAATTTCACTAAGTTAAGAATGGTTTAGTGCCCTTATTCAAAAATTTGTAACTTGAGATACAAGCCTCAAATGGGAAAACTTTGTGAATCAAAGTTGTAGATTATGCAACAAGCTACAACTTTCATGTTTTGACTTTTGTTTGAATCCAAATGGATCTTGGTGAAAAAGTGGGGCAAAGTTGGGAAAAAATTAGGGTTTTTTATAACTTAGAAAAATTCTAAGTTATGAAAAATTCTAATTCCTAACCCTAATTTGCATTTTGTGATTTCTTGGTGAACAAGTTTCATGATTTGGCATGTTTTGATGAAAAATGAATCTTGACTCTTGATTTTGACCAAAAAGTCAAAGTTTGACTTTTCAGTATACAGTCAAAATTGATCAATTGACTGGGAAATTCAACTGTCAATCTTGTGTACTTGGGATCTTTTGAGCTGGTTGAGAATGTTAAGACAATTCCATGGGGTCCTTGACTCCATCTATGAGCTTGGTTTGCCATTGGCTAGGTCAAACAGTCAAAAATTGCCTTTGTGCAGTCAAAACCCTAAAAATGACCATTTTGCCCTTTTGGTGATCTGATCAAATTTCTTATGGAATTGTGATCCAAACTTGATCAAATTGTCCATATGAGTTCATAATGTTGATGTGGGTCAATTTTCATGAGGTTTGACTGTCAATTGGCCACAGTTGACTTTTTCCCCAATACAGTTGATTTCTAGGTCAACTGTCCAATTGACTGGGCAAAACTTGGAATCAAGACTTGAAACTTGATATGGATAAACTTGGGAGTCCAATATGAAGCAAGAAAGTCATCTTAGGCATTTTAGGTTAAAACATCTTGGTGCAAACACAAACCCTAATTTGGGTCAACAGTGCAAGGAGAAGTCTTGAGCAGATGAAACCCTAACTGGATCTTGGGCTTCAAAGGTTTTGTGATGAGAAATCATTGAAAAATGGGAGGGAAAATTTTGGGGTACAAAAGTTGCCCCTGTTCAATCTTCTTGAATCCGAAGAGTTAGATTGGCAAGTTTGCCTTTCGTGACTCGAGGGTAAAAGGAGACTGGACACTAGAGTGCCCGGAAATTTGCACTCGTCAAAGCAATGAATGCGGGGATGGGCTTAGAGATGCCATTTGGAGATGGGCTTAGAGATGCCATCTGGGAGAGTGACAGAAACTTGTCGGGGATGGGCTTAAAGATGCCATCTGGAATGAATGTCGGAGAGGTGTCCATGCTTGGGACCATCTTTGAACTGGGGGTCTGAATAAGCAATAGATTGACATCCGTTGTTGGGAAGAATCCATAGACTATTTTCAGAAGTCTTGAGAAGATACTGAACAAGTGATAGGTTAACACACGTTACTGGAGAACCTGTGAACTGTTTTCAGAACGTTGAGAAGAGTCTGAACAAGCGATAGGTTAACATCCGTTACTGGAGAACCCGTGAACTGTTTTCAGAAGTCTTGAAGTTGAATAAGCAATAGAGCAGCATCCGTTGTTGGGAAGCGTCCGTAAACTGTTTTCAAAAATTGCATTTGAACAAGCTGATAGATTAACATCCGTTGTTGGGAAGAATCCATAAACTGTTTTCAGAAGTCTGGAGAAGAAACTGAACAAGCGATAG